CGACGCCCACCAACCCCCCACCTCCCCCTCTCTTCCTCCTTGGAATAAAAAAATTTCTTAATTAGGAGAGGCTCACAATTAATGACAATTCAAATTCAAAATTTGAATTTGAATTAGCATTAATTACTCCTTAAATTCGTCCCTCCAATTAAGCCAATAATCATTAATTTAAATCTGAAATTTAATTTCAGATTTAAATCAGTTAATCATTTAATCCTCACAATTAATGACAATTCAAATTCAAAATTTGAATTTGAATTAGCATTAATTACTCCTTAAATTCGTCCCTCCAATTAAGCCAATAACCATTAATTTAAATCTGAAATTTAATTTCAAATTTAAATCATTTAATCCTCCCAATTAATGACAATTCAAATTCAAAATTTGAATTTGAATTATCTTTAATTACTCCTTAATTTCAGATTTCCATTCTCTCTCCCCAAATTGATTTGGGATTTAATTAGTCTTGCCACCTAGGCAAGTAAATGGCGTTTCCGTTTCACATCACCTATAGCTTGAAAACTTAATAAACAATCACATTTAGATTTGCGTTATTGTATAGGTGCACAAGCCTAGGCATGTTGTGGGTGGAGCCTGACTATCTTTCTTTTTTCTGCAGACTCTAGGTTGTATGTATAGTCATAACTTTAATCAAATTTATTTTGAAGACTTGTGTTGGGATGTAATTAACTATAGAAGTTTGACGCTATAGAAGACCTAGAATCCCGTAAAAAATAAATCCTTCTTTAGTTTGTTAGAGTAAGGAAAAATCTTTGGATGTAGATTAAAAGTTTGTTAATTTTTAATTTCATTTTTAAAATGATTGGTGAATATCATTTTATTTTTTGGGTTGAATATTATATTTTCTATGCTGAGCTTGATTATGAAAATAAATTTTATTTCTGTTATTGAATCGATAGTCAAGCATTTGTGTTTGCCTTTTGAGATGATTTGTTGTTAGCTATGCATATTCGATTATAGAAAAATAAAGAAAATCAATTTGCATAATTAATTGTATCCACACTTACCTAACTGTAGGTGTCAACGACCAACCTAGGATAAACTATCTTGCTATCAACACCTCAATGCCTCATTCGTTTATGCACTATCTAAATAATAGATTTTTCTTATAAATACCCAATTTCAACTTCTAACTTAATTAAATTTTAATTTAATCTCAAATTAATATTTTTTTCTCAAAAAAATCTCTCATATAAATTTCAAGGTCTCCTACTTTTATTCAAAATTGTTTCAACGAAAGAACTCTCATAAAATCAGATTTCTCACTTCAAGACATGGCTTCTCCTTTTGTCATTCTTCTTCCTTCCTTTTTTTCCTTGGCCAAGCTCTATGTTTCCACCTAGATGAAGCCCACCACCTTTTCTTTGGCTGAACTATTGCAGAATAGAATTAGAAATTTTTTAGGGGAAAAAAAAAAGAAATAACAAAATTACCCTATTAAAACTTAATTACATTGAAATCAACACTCTCCATTTCTTTCTTTAGCCATTGCATGGATGGATTTGGGGAATTGTTGAGTTTTTCCTTAAGGCTAAAATATATTTATCTAGGGGTGTAAACGACTTGACTCGAGTTGAGTACCTGCCTAATCGAGCTAAGCTTGTTTTGTTTTTACTGAGCTCGAGCTTGACTCGTTAAAAAATTTAAAATCTCGAGCTCAACTCGATTTCTTTGTTTTAAATTAAAAAAGTAAATTTTTATAGAAATTTCATTTTTAATATAGAATTAATTTAAAAGATATTAAAATATATTATATAATGCTAATTTAAATTAATTTTTAAATATATTAAGTTAATCGAGCATCTCAATGAGCTTTTGAGTTGTGCCAGATTGAGCTCGAATATAAGCTCGAGCTCGAACATTTGGCTTGATGAGCTCGACTTGTGAGCTCGTTAACGGGTTGAGCTCGAGCTGGCTCGGCTCACTTACACCCCTAGATTAATCTAATAAACAGTAAAATTAAATCTTAGCTTGGATAGATTTTAAACCTAATTTAATTTATATAAGCTTATATATTTACAATTACCTATATGTATATAAATACATTATAAGTATTTAATATGTTTTTTATAATCGGCATGACTTGTGCTATATCCATAATAAATACAATATGCAAGAATGAAATTTATTATATTCAATAGAGGTAATGTGTATAAAAATAGATATTGTTGTTATATGAATCATTTTAATATATAAGAATTCCTGCTGTGATAGATTAAGACAAAGCTTTCTACATTACTTTAAAAGTGATCATTTTTGCTTGATCTTTATTTTAATTATTACAAGAGATCTAATAAGAGCATATCCGTGAAAAGGTTGGAGTAGCTCTAGTGACATATAAGATTAGAGAGAGTCACCTTAGATGGTTTGGTCATGTAATACGGTGGCCTTCCGATGATCATGTTAGGAGAGTAGATGTATTAGATTTGGCTTATGTTAAGAAAGGTAGATGTATACCAAAAATGATTTGGTTAGAAAGTATTAAAATGCCTTTTCTTTATTAGATTTAAATGAGAATTTGACTATTAATAGGACACAATGGAGAAAACGGATTCATGTAACCGACCCCACGTAGTGGGATAAAGGCTTGATGTTGTTGTTGTATTACAAGATATCTAAGAAAGTATATGTAATAATAATTGAGTATTGAACACATGATTGCCAGCCTATAAAATATTTATGAAATTAATAAAAGTATCAAGATAATTCTCCTAATGAAGAAGAGTGTTTATCTTTCAATAAATAAAATTCACTTAATTTAAGGCTAGAGATACTAAATTCTAAGTCAAATTGAGATCTAAGCAGTAACATGAGATGAACAATCAACTTGGAGCTTATCCATATGCTACCTGTACTCTTGGTTATCATGCACATGGAGCTTATGCAGTTGTTCAACTGTCTAATTTTGACATATTTGTGTAAAGCAAGTGTTATTTCTTATTTCCTATAATAATTGGAGCATACCAATTTTTATATTTATTTTAATTGTTCTCTACCCTTGTTTTTTTAAACAATGGATAGGATCAGCCTAGCTCGGTTGAAAACATCAATGGAGCTATAGAAAAAGAAATAATCGAAATTTCTACGAAGGGAGCTATACTTTTCATTGTAGGAGCATCCGTTTTTTTGTTGCTGCTTTACGTTTTTATGTCAAAATGGTTTATAAAGCTGCTAGTTGTACTGTTCTGCATTGGCAGTATACTGGTACGTGGATCTTGTATATTCTTGTCTTTTTGAGTTCTTGTAGCCGAATAAACAAGAACTCCTTTGAGTTTTTTTTTTTTTTTTTAATGCTTATTTAGGTTTCTGCTATGCCAGGGAATGCAGTTTATCATGGTGTCACTTTTCTCAAGGTATATTGGTATATTATTACATTTAGCAAGTTTTGCGGTCTGTTGTATTATTGCCTTTTCCCTCTTTTTCCTGGTCATAATTTGCTAACTAATCAATTTTGAACAGAATGTTTAGGGGCTGTGGGAGGATCACATTAGAACTCCCCCTATTGGGTGAGGTTACTATTCTTTCTATTGTAGTCCTACCGTTCTGTGTCGCATTCGCCATTGTTTGGGCCACTCATCAGGAATCATCTTATGCCTGGATTGGCCAGGATACCCTTGTAAGATAAGTTTCTTATTCTCTTCACTTTTCCTGTATTTGCTCATATATAGTTCTCTTTACTCTTTTTTTTTTTATTATATAATATACCTTCTCATTGCTGTTTTATAATATATTATTTAATTAAAAAGCTTAAGTAATATTCTTAAATACAAATTCATGAATTTATCTGTTTGTGTATATGCATGTGAAGTTGTGAAATTTTTGGGTTATTGGTTCTTTTCGTGGATGATAGGAAATTTTTATTGGTTACTCGTTATCATGTGATATACACTTGGATGCATTTTGCCGTTATAGTTTTTTTTGGCTTTACCAGATGCTTTATTTTTTATTTTTTTTGACAGGGTATCTGTTTAATGATTACGGTGTTTCAAATGGCTCAATTGCCAAATATGAAGGTAGTATTAAAACCATCCCTTTTCTGTTTTATAACTACTATTTTTCATTCTGATCATTGTTTTGTTTAGGTTGCTTCAGCTCTTCTTGTATCTGCTTTTCTTTATGATATATTCTGGGTGTTCATATCACCCTTTATCTTCAAGGAAAGTGTAATGATTGCGGTAAGATCAATTTTAATATTTTAATTTTGATTTATTTTAAAATATATCAGCAGACCACTTAGCTTATGTACAACCTTTAAGATGTTACAAGATTGTCTTGATTAAAATTGCCTTAACACATAATTGAACTTCATCTGTATCTCTTTTGTGCATAGGTTGCTCGTGGTGGAAATAGCGGAGGGGGTGCCATTCCAATGCTCCTTAGGCTACCTCGGTTTTTTGATCCTTGGGGTGGTTATGACATGATAGGCTTTGGGGACATCATATTTCCTGGTTTGCTTGTTGCTTTCAGTCGTAGGTATCTTTATCTCCCCCTTATCCTTATAATTCAATTTTTTTTATAAAATTTATTTTTACTGGTGAAGTGAGGAAACATACGGTATATTTGTTTATGCAATTTTGATTAAGGGGCATTATGCAAACTTGTGGAAATAACTAGTGGGTTGTCTGAATGTAAGAGTTGACATCACGGTGACATTGTAAGAACAAAGATGTCAGCTTTGCAACATGATGTTATGTGACAACCCCTTTGATTATGATTTGTAATAACTGATTCCGTCATCGGGGTTGGTGCCTTGGAATTGATGTTGAGACTCCATTAGGTTTCTAACTTTGATCCAATCATAAACTTCTTGAGTCATTAGAAAGTCATCTTTAGTTTGCATTGATGAGAGTTGTCAAACTGGAGAAGTTTTGGAACACCAGCTCAGCTATCTTGAGTGCTAAGTGGGGGCTTACCCTGCATTGTGTATCTTTTGGCATGTTGGCAAGAAAGATTTCCGGTAGCTTTGAAACACGACTATCTTTTTGTCACTTGATCTTAGGCTGGTGAATCTTTCATTCTTTCACTTTATCATCTCCACTTAAAGAGAGGCTTTGAGAGCTTTTAAATTATTATTTTTTTATGTTGAAACTTTTTTGGCTAATTGAAGGGATCAAGCCTCAAGGATTTGCTTCCTGCGTGAATGTTGGCCCCTTTAATTATGTTATGATAATCTTGCATATTAGACTTGTTGGCGAAGAGGGAAGAATGGCACTCCACATGCTTAGTTTGGAGCAATCTGCATACATAATTTTGGTACAGGAGGCTGTTAATTAATAGCTTAATTTCATTCATTCAATATCAATAATAATCCCAATGTTCATCATGGCTCCATAGTTTATAGAAATATGGTTACAAAGATAGGCCAAATATTTAAAAGCAATTTAATCTTATCCAATCCAAAAATACTTCAAATTTAAACCAATTTTAATCCAGGATTTAAAACTAAAAAAAAAGATGAAAAAATTGGCAATACATATAAATGAGAGACTAAAAAAGCTTGAAATGAGCCCAATTTAGATCTATTTTGGCTTGGTTCTTTTTGTAATTGCCCTAAGGCCACTTGGGCTTTTATGAACTATTTTGTTCTATTTCAAAGCCTGTATGCATCAGCTTCCCTGGGTTGCAAAACTCTCCTAAAAGGAGTTAAGCTCAATGTATTTTTGGGTATAAATGAGTAGAGTTGAGCTCAAGCCACTGAGTTTGAGCTTGAGTTTGAGCTAAAGTTTATGATTTCTAATCGAATCTGAGTTGGCTCTTTACTTATGAAACAAAGATGATGATTACAATTCAAGTTACTGCACTAAAATGATATAAAAATGGAATTATGGGAGAAATAATATGAAATAAGTTGACACGAGGAGTAGTATAATGCTTTTAAAAAATCTTAAAAACTTTGTATACAAACTCTTGAACTTTAAGATATTTTAAGTTAACTTTGTATAAACATTTTAAATGATTTGGCTCATGTGTTGACTAGTTAAATCCAGGATAGCTCAAATTTGATTTGTTAGCTCATTGAACTTGGCTCACAAGTTATTTATCGAATTTAGCCTGACTAGGCTCATGAGTTTGCTTGACTCAATCACACCTCTTTTGTATGCATCTAGGGGTTCTGGAGCTATTTTTTGTAATTCCTCCATAATTTGCCAAGTACCATCTGAAAGAGTTATGCCTTCTCTCCTTACTCGAAACGTGTGCTCGAAATTTTTTGTAATTCGTACTTCATTTGAAATGGTAATCTCAACATCCAAGTAGCCAGGTGAGTCTTGAATGATCAGATATCTGGAATCAACAATTTTTGTAGAAATCACTCCAGTAGAAAAATTAACAAGGTTTAAATATTCCTTGATAATAATATCCATTGATGTTGAAAATTAGGCTAATAAGCATATCCCATGTTAAAGGCATCTAAATGATCACTCCTATTTAAAATGAATTCAAAATATTCAAAACTCAAAATTAGGAGCTCTCTTTTAAGAGTTTTTCATTCTTGTGCATGATGTTTTAGAACTTCTTAAAATTTCAAACACATCACGACATGGATCTTAAGAGCTTAGGATTAAATCTTAAGTGATCTACCTCATTTGTTGGAATCCAAAATTAAAAAAAAAACAATCATTTCCCCTAGGCATAGGACTCAATTCCCATTTCTTTTTATTTGTTTAAGCCCCAAATTAAACAAATGACTATCTCTCTTTGAACACCAAAAGTTTAAAGAATTTTCAGTAATTTGTAACCTCGAAGTCGCACATTTTCCTTCCATTTCTACGGACACCAAAGTGGTAGAAAATTATCCGTTCTCCTCAGCCTAAAAGCCATAGGAAGCTCTCATATCCATTGCTTAGTATCTTTATCGACACTCCTAAGAGATTTTCAATAATCTCTAAGGAATTCAAAAAACAATTAAAAATTCTCAGTATTAAATTCTAAATCTTATTGATCTTTTTATTGAACCCAAAATTAGCAAAAGATCCCTACTTCAACCCAAATCTTAGCTACTTTCATTTGCTTAGCCCAATTAAGCAAATGAATACATCTCTTTGAACATAAATAATTCAAAAACACTTCCTCATTTGTAGCCTCAAAGTTACAAATCTTCATTCATTTCTATGAACTCCAAAATCCTAGAATATTTTCTTAGCTTAATCTCAAAATAGTAGGAAACTTCTCTCTTTTTTAGCATCAAAGCTATATGTTTGATTCTATTCTCTTTAATTCCAAAGCTAAAGGTAAGTTCCTTCATCCTTTAGCTTTAAGGCTATAGGAAACTCTCCTTCCCTTAGCCTAAATGCTATAGGATTCTTTCTACCCTTAGATCCAATGTTTTGGGTATTCCACCATCTTTATTCACCTAATCTTCAATCAAATGAATGATCTTTAGCCTTGGGCCCCTAAGCCTTAAGCTCTTTCTATTGGACCCAAATTCAATAGGATTTTTCTCTTTTGGCCTTCAAAGTTGAAGTTTTTTTATTTGAACCAAAGTAAATAGATAATCTCTCTTTCATCTATAGATCCAAACTCTAAAATTCTTTCACTTAACTAAAAATAGTGATATCTTTTTAGAAATCGAATAAAGTTTTTTTGACTTCCTTCAGTCCTTGAAAAGCCGAAAAATCATATCCCGGTTTCCTTCAAACCGGATTTGCTTCTATTTAAATTAATTACTTTTTTTATCAAATTTTAATTAATAACCTGCTCTTTTAAAAATTTGGCCTTTTAAAATTTCAATGCAAACTTTTCCGAAAGAAAGCAAAGATGAACCGCAATCTACTTGCAAGTCCAGATTTACCTGATTTTTGACATCATCGCTCACGTTTACAATGGAAAAATGTTAATTAATGCCGGAAATGGGAGATCTTTGTTACGCATTTGAGCTTTAAATACCCGTCAAGCTCAGCTGAAGAAATCCAAATCATCCTTGCTAAATTTGAAACTACTTTCAGATCGACAAAGAGAATGGTGAAACAAGACGAGGTGAAGCTGATCGGAGTCTGGGCGAGCCCCTACGTGGCGAGGGCAATGATTGCTCTTAATCTGAAGGGGGTCGAATACGAGTACATCGCAGATGATTTGTTTAACAAAAGCGAGCTTCTTCTCAAGTCCAATCCGGTCTACAAGCTGGTCCCCGTTCTCATCCATGGAGATAAGCCCATCTGCGAGTCCCGTATTATTGTGGAGTACATCGACCAAGTTTGGGCTTCTTCCGGCCCTTCCATCCTCCCCGCCGATCCCTACGATCGCGCCATCGCTCGCTTTTGGGCTTCCTATGTCGACGACAAGGTACTTAACTGTATCTCTAATGAAAAGAAATTAACTTCAGGCAGCGTTTGGTTTTAAGAAATTAGAGGCGAGGAAATGAAAATCTTAAGGGAAATGAAAATGATGAAATATATTAAAATTGGTTTTCAATCATGGGAGGATCAAACTTAAGCCCTACCCTCCTGAAAAAATAAAAAATTTCTTTATTATATGATTCTTTAGTGAAATTGTTCTCCTCCATATATTATTTAGTATTTATTACAAATTTTTAAGCAATTGTTCCTGTAAAAGTTTTAAAATATTATAGTCTTTAGTCAATTGCCCCAACATAATAAACATCTTGTATAGAGATGTTATTGTTAGGAAACGATGAACCAAATACAAAGTGAAATAGTAAAAATAATCCAAAAATACTATGGTCGAACCGTGCCAGAGGGCACGGCCCCCTTGGACCCTCTACATAAGCGTACAACGATGAACAAATAGGGGTCTAGAAGTAATGCCGTCAGAACAAATTTTAATTATGAGGATATTTATAATAATAAAAAAAAATCTACTTTTTTACTTATAAGTTTATCATTGATCCGCCCCTGTTTAAACAACACTTTTGTTTCAGAAGAAAGTATACAAATTATTACGATGACTTCTTATATTTTTCCTTATTTGCAGTTTTTTCCTGCTAATCGAGTGTTGTTCTGGGGTAAGGATGAGAAGAGCATAGCAGAAGCGAAGGAGCAATTTTTAGCCGCATTGCTGCAGTTAGAAGAGGCTTTTGTTAATTGCAGTAAGGGGAAGAGCTTCTTCGGCGGGGACACCATCAACTTGGTCGACATTGCCGTCGGTTCCTTCCTTAGTTGGCTGAAAGCTTTCGAAATTATAACGGGAACAAATTTTCTGGATAAGAAGAAGACTCCACTATTGGTTGAGTGGGCAGAATGCTTCCGTTCCGTCGACGCCGCCACGGAGGTGCTGCCGGAAGCTGAAAAGCTTGTGGAGTTCTGGAAATTTGCTCAGGCTGGCTGACGCTGCCACCAAATGATGATTGCATTTGATGGTTGGATAATTGAAAGCAAGATTTCTAATGGTATTTATCTGAGTGCAGTGGGAGCGAATCTCATGTTGATTGGAATGTGGGGTTTTTTTTGGTTAGGTGCTTTGGCTATAAATTAAGAAATTTTATGGGTATGTGATATGTGTAAACTTATTTTATTTATTTTAAATATCTCAAAAAAAAAAAAAGTAGGCCTGACGGGGTTTGGGAGGAAAGTAATAAGATTTTATTTGGAATGATTTTCTTATTGTTTTTTAAAATTGTTTTCTAATAAAATAAAAATTTCTATATATTTATTGACCTTTAATGCATCACCAAAAATTTCATTGATCGGGCAAGAATCTAG